TCCTGCTGACCTACCTGAGGGTTGGTGCTGGCAATATTAGAAAACCTAGTAGAAGACTTGTATAGGGGAATAATCACAACTTTAGGTTTTAGTTAAGGATGCAAATTGGTTTCTGTAAAGCACTATGTGAGGAAAGCAATGACATGGTCTGCTGGTCCACTCTGAACTGCTGTGAAGGAGAGTGGTTTGATGGCTTGTCTCTGCAGCGCCAAGCCAGCAAGCTCTGTGAAAATGTTGTCCTTCTGGAAACACAAGCAAGTCAGATGTGCAGATGCACTCTTAGTCTGTGGCTGCTATAAAGCTGACTGACCACTTTTCTCCGGAGGCAAGAACTATTGCAGTCATTTCCTGTGCACAGAGGGCATGGGGGCCACAGAGGCTCTCATTTACCAGCATGGTAGGTTGTTTGTCAAACCCACAGGAACACTAAGAAAGCGACACAGACTTCCTAAGAAGATGGGCAGTCACCTTGCTTAAATCAGCAGTATTGCCAGGTTAGCATGGTTTTCGGATGCCAAATACAGTGAGCAGTTCATTATGGAAAACTGTATTTTTCTCAAGTTTTTTGTGTTATTGTGGCTCCCTTACTGCTGATTAGAAGATTCATACTTGAATTCTGAAATTCAAATGAATGAGTATACCTTATTAAAAAATTTCTGAATTCCAAGCTACAACGTAAAATTTTGTTTCTGAATTTCTTTTTGACAGTGGCACTTGGGTAGATAAGGAAGACAACAGTATTGGAGCAAGAGAGAAAAACAACAAAAATGAGGGGAAAAATACTAAATGTTTTAATGAACTTGTGCAATATATTGTTCAGTTTGGACTTGACAGAAACAGTATGTAATGACTCAAACCGCTCCAAACGTTTTGCACATCCTGTTTTCTATTAATGCCAGTGAGGTCCATCAACCTTAGGTTTCAGCTGGTTAAGCTTTAGTACAGTAGTAGAGGAGTTTTAAAACTCTCTATGACATGCAATTGGATAGAAAGTGGTGCTTCTCTTTTGCTTCTCTTTCAAAAATCAGAAGGCAAATTTTCTGTCTACATATCAGAAAGATTTATTGTATTTTCAAAATATACTTTACTTTTTTCAAACCTTTTTGTTACTGCTGTAAAGAATCCTACTGAACAGAAAATAAAGATAGAAGGAAAATTAGGTATGAGGAAGAAATTCTTCACTGTGAGGGAGGTGAGACACTGGCACAGGTTGCCCAGGGAAGTTGTGGATGCCCCGTCCCTGGAAGTGTTCAAGGCCAGGTTGGACAGGGCTTTGAGCAGCCTGGTCTGGTGGGAGGTATCCCTGCCCATGGCAGGGCGTTGGACTGGATGAGCTTTAATGTCCCCTCCAACCCAAACCATTCTACGATTCTGTGAAAAAAGGGTTGAGATTCAGTGGGTTTGTCAGTCAGCATTGATCAAGACTGGCTGCAAGAACTCGCTTATCATGTCCATTCTTGCTGCCAGTTCTGATCAAACAGCTGGAAAAAGTTTGCATGTAATGAATATAGTTACACTCCACAGACAGAAATTCTTTGATCTTGACGATTTCTCACTTTGAACAGTAATCAGAAAATGTCGTAGAATTGTCACATCAACTGTGAAGGTTTCCTTTTGAAGTCATGTCCATCCCTTCCTTTTGTTTCCAGGATTACCTGAGGGCAGATCTTTTCTAGCTGTTGCTTTGATGACTTTATGTATGCAATATGTCTCTCCTGCACTGTCCCAATGGAAGAGCAGTTGACTTTATAATTCTGGGGGATTTTGTTTATTTTTTGTTTGCTTTTTTGTTTCTTTTCTGCACATGCCCAGTTGAGCCAGTCGATGCCCGCCCAGCTGCAGACAGAGGACTCACCACACGACCAGGTATATAACTTGCATGGCTTTTCCCTAACCTGTGTTTTCCCAGCATGCATGTGGTCTGCTTGAGCTGAAGTGATCACCTTTGCTTTGGTATAACCCTCTCTTAAAATGCAATGCTGTGCGTGAACCAGGGAAGCGTTCCCACAAAAACCCTGTCAGCCTGTGCGAGTGCTGTCTGTGTTAAGGGTGTTTGGAATGGGCACACACAGAGGGATGGGACCCAGAGACCCAGAACCGATACTCACATTGTCATCCCTTCTAGCAGTAATGCTTTGGCAGGTGCAGGGGGCAGTAGACATGGTACCCCGCAGTGTAGACAGTACTTTTAATGTGGGAATGTATGATGGAAATTTTAGAATTACAGGGGACATCAAGATTTTTTTTCTGTGATACTTATCTTAGCTAACTCCAGATATCTAAAGTAAAAACTTGCTTTTCATACTAACTTTTTTGCTTTCTAGGCTGTCTTTCCCCTTGTTTTTGTTTAGGATTATCTATCAATGGCTGATTGCATTGAGATGAAACAGGCTTTTATTTCAGAAGAGGTTACTCTCCAACACATGGTGAGATTAGATTGGTATATTTTAGGGACAGAATTACTTCAGTGTCACATCATCACAGGGTTTTTTCTTCAGATCAAATCAAACTTATCAATCCGTCTTCTTTTTTCCTTCATCTTTTCCTTCAAACACCAATTCAGGTAGCATTATGGGTGTACACCCTCCTAGTGTGTTTAAGTCTTTCTGATAACTCACTGGTGTTTACTGACAACAGAAATTGCTACAGTGGGAAGTAAAATAAGCTCTTATATTACAGCAATTGGGATACATGCCAAAACTGGCCAGGTGATGTGCTCCTAGCACTGTTTTAGGAGTCTGACATTCTTACTTGTGTTTAGAGCCTTATTACATTCCATGAAGAGCCTGGAAACAGACACAGAGCTAGCTGTACAACAGCACCAAAAATCATGGGGTTGGGGAACATCCCCCCAGTACTGGGTTATCTGTGCCTCCTGGATTGCATTTCTTTCCTAAGCAATAGAAACATCACAAATGAAACATGAAAGTATTTAATCCAAATTTTGTATTGTTAGTTCAGTCTAGCTATTTTCTTGTAATATTTAAAGGTTGTGATTGTTAACTATTTTAATTTCGGTCATCTTGAAAAATCTCCTGATATGAGGCCCATATTTATTACTAAAGATTATTACTTCCTCCCTTCTGTTCCCCCTGCCCCCTCATGACAGAAATCTTTGATGTCCCTTCTCTGGAGAGAGGATTTTCTCACAGTGCCACACTCAGTGAAATGATGTGTTTGAGTCCACTCTATCAGCGTACAAACAGTATTACAGGTATGGCCAGCATAGCCATGACTCTTAGCTCAAGTGCAGAAGCAGTACTGTCCAGGGGCCTGTGCAGCCTTCGTCACTTTTACAGCAGGGTTTAAGCACTGCAAAGGCTCTGCTTTTGGCACAGAGAGTGAACCCCTCCGGGCTGGCAAGGGCACACGCCACACTTCTCCGTGCAGAGGGATAGTTTCTACCCTGGAGAGACTGAAATCTCTCAGCACTGGGCCTGAATGCCAAATTTCACAGCATAAAGTGCCTTACATATGCATGTGCAATAGGGATTTTGCCCTTTTGCAGTAGTGCTGACTGTATCGCAACAGCAAGCAAAGCGCATTCCCTTCACCATTCCTTATGACCATCACCAGGTCCAGACTTGTGCACGTTTGTCCTTACTGACACAAATTCTGGCAATAAATGTCCACCTGATTTTTCATAATTCTTTAAAAAGCAATTTATCTGATGAAAAAACTGTGTTTAACAAAAACCGATAGCAGTCTGAGTAGCTTCATAAACTAGGAATAGAGGAAAGCAAACGGATGCTGAATTACACTGTGAAATACAAAAGGGATTCTGAAAGTTTAAAAATGTGTGCTTTAAAATTGTTTTGCTTGCTAATTATAAAGAAAATTTCTATGCTAGAGGTTAAAAACAGAAAAGAGACACTTTTTAATTTTTTTATTTTTGCAGTCACTATCCTTCTGGGATAGACAGTTTTTACGTTTTGGGACTGTTCTTGATGGAAAAAAAATTCTGGAGAATGAGAATAGTATTCTAGAATTAAAAAGTATTTAGAAGAGACCAGGAGGCAGATTGATACTTGCAGTTGCTTGTAACATTTTGTTTTGTTTTAATTACCCAGATTCTTGTTGATATCCTGAAAGGTTTGCCTAAGTTTAAAGCATTTACTAAGATTTAAGCCAGTTGTCCAAATCCCTGCCTCTGTTGCACTCCAGCTTGGCTGTCAGTGCTTGAAGCTTGAGTTTTAATCTGATTTACATGAGTCTCAGGATAAGAGTAATGTTGGGGGACTCCAATTTCCTAATATAGCTAGATACCAGTGTGAATCACACGGATGTTGTGAGAAGGAGCCTAGTGCTTCCACACGCTGTCCTTCCCCTTTTTACCTCACAAATGGGGGAACAAAAATAAGAATTATGCCTAAATCCCTTTCTTGTCATCGCTTTCCTGAAAAGTAAGTAAACAGAGATAATAAAAGGTCAAAGGGAAGGAAAATATCTAGATGTACTAAGCAGTCATCAGTGAGCTATTTTTAATGCAAAATGGTAAGAGATTATGACATGTTTCATGCTATTTATAAATGACTTTATATAGGGAGATGTTAGATACCTTCAATCCATAACAAGAGCTTCAAATAGAAAGAATTCCTCTTTACTTGACAGCCTCACTTTAACAGCTTTTTCAATTGTGTTTCCTTCTCGTCTGTGCCCCAGAGGTCACTGTTTAATGATGAACATTTAATTTCTTGCAGCTGAATTTTGGGAATGTGCTTATTACTAATGTTTTTCTCTTCGTGTGTGTATAGAGACATATACACACATAAAAATACCTATAAAAACATCTTTAGATACTCATAAGCAAGCTCCTTTTTACTCATGTTAATTCAGAAGATCTGATCTGTGGAAATTGAAGGTTAGAAAAATCTGCCATCAGAATGGATATTGCTTAATATCAGCAGATTTTCTGAAATTCAGGGTGATAAAATAACCAGTGCTCTGTTCAGAGTAGGTCATATTCTCATCTGTTGCACAGTTGCAACTTTAATTATACCACTAACAGCTGTAATGATAACACTCACAGAGTGCCCGTAATTCACAGTGCAAGGATTTTATGTTATTAACTGTGTTACTGTCTTCTATGTACTGTGGTCTGGTGGTTTTTTGTATTCTCCCAACTCTTTGGCAGTTGATTATTTTTGCAAATAGTAATTTTGAGGAGATACTGCACATAAAGCTGCTTCTGTGTCTCTGGCCCTTCCGCTGATAAATCATGGCATGTCTGTCTTTATTACGTTATATAAAAAGATGAGGGATTTTTTTTTATATGTGGTTGCAGAGGGTAATGGCTGTTCCGCAGAATCATTAGCACATATGCTGCAGTCCGTATGAGGTGAGGGCATAGAGCAGCTTAGTGAATTATTTATGATTTTCTTGCCAGAAATTGCCAGTTGTTGGTTTTTTTCCTGCCTTAGTGATGTTAGTTCAATACAGTTGTCTTAAACCAACTGTCTGCAGCTACCAAATAAAAATCATTAGCAGATTTTTCCCCATTAGATAGTTGCTAACTGTGAATGCAATTATATGTACATATGCACAGCATCTGCATTGACATGCCAGAAAGATGACCAAATTTTACTTGTTTTGATTATTCATTTTTACGAACATGTAAAATAATCTCTGCTATTCTGATAAATAAATATTTCATACTAAGTTCTAATGAGATTCTGTTCTAAAAAAGGTATTTTTTTGCCCTTATCATCTGCATTCTCCAATTTGAGAGCCCTGTAGTCATTCATGAAATAAAAATGAACCACCTTTTTACTGACTTCCAAGGAGAGACCAGAAGGTTTTAGTTCCATGCAGTCTTAAAAGTACTCCTCAAAGATATTTGTCCTTACAAAAGTGAGTATATAATCTTCATTCTTCCCCTTTCATTTCAAAATGAAATGACCTGCACAAAGTCATAGTCATATGGAAGTAATGGTTGAACTTCTAGTAAGAACATGCAGCTGTCTGCCTGAGTAATTCTTCAAACGCTGCGTTCCTTTCCATCCTCCCTTTTTATTTTTGGTGAAACTTTAGCCAGATAAAGCTGTTTACTGCACTTGTAACAGGCCTTGATGCAACAGTTCTTATCTTGGTCTTGCCATTACTCCAATACAGCACATGGACATGGCGTTACATGTTTTCCTGAACGTGGTCATCACATCTGTTACTTAAACATGCTACTTCTGGTTTTCTTTACATAGAGACCACCCAGGTCTGGTGTTTTCACCTGTGCTTCACTTGGAGGTTTAATTTTTAACTATAAAAGTAACTGGAAGACCACAGGCATAGCTCATACTGTTTCAGATCCTTGCAAAACAAAAATCACAAAATCTTGCTAAGCTGTTATTTATCTGGTAATTGAAGCAATTACAAACAGTGTAGTTGATAATGTACACCTAATTGCATCCTTGGTGGAATTCATTGTATCCTCTTTTTCTTATCCTTCTGAAAGCCTAAATTTGTATTCACACAAATGCAAAAGCTGATCTGTGTGAGAATAATGTGTTCCCCAAAACAGCTACTTGGTTTTTATTTCATGCAAGTAGCTTTTAACTCCTTAAGATTTTTTTAATATATTTTTTTTCCTTTAAGGGCAAGGAACAATAAGGTTTGCATATGTTGCTCTTTTTGAGATTTGGATACGTGTGTGCACACGCATGTGCGTGCGTTCACATGTATGTCTAAAAGCAGTTAGCATTACTAATTAACAGCAATATAATTGAAAGCCCATCATAGATAGTTCATTAGTTAGATTTTACTAGATGCTTTTAAGCCCATGTTTTTGATGGCTAAATAGTTTGTTCAGTTTTTCTAACCAGTTGCAAGTTAATATATTTACCAACTGAATTGTAGCATTTTTAAATTAAAGTAATTACGAATGCAACTCCCTAAAGATACCGTGTAGTTCAGAAGAAAAAGCACTAATAATTATCATTTGTGAATTTGCAGTGAGGCTGTTGCTCTCGCTTTTCTTCTTCTCCGTTGGCTTTTGTGTTTAGGTTGTGCATTTTAGATATGGTAGTGAATAAAAGATCATTTTGTGTCAGAATTAAAGGCCTTGTCATATAGTTAACTTTTCTTTGCATGCTTGTCTCCAATGCAAGAGTAGAGTGGTATGAGACAGCCCTTAGCTGTTGGCATCTTACCTGATTCACATACCTCTGATAAAAATTTTGGAAAGACACTTTTTTCTGCAGTTAGTTTTTCCTTCTTCAGCTACTACCTTTGTAAAATAAATCTTTTATTTTAGCATGTAGATCTAAGTATGTAGTCACCAGGACAGGAAAGCGAAAGTCGGTGCAGAGTCATCCTTCTCTTCCTATATAATCAATTATTTGCAGAAGACCACCAGTTTACCCTAGTTGTACTTTTAAAAGTCTTTTTCCTCACCTCTAAGGGAGATCGGATGGAGGAAAAAATTGCTATCAGGTTTGCTAGTGCCGCAGAATATTCTTCTGTTTCTGACCTTTTTGCTGTGCTACCTCCCAAAGACAAGTGTAAGTGTATCAGCGTAACTTGCCAATGCCAGGTCCTCCTTTGTGTTCAGATCGCATGGCCTTTCTGTGGATTGCTAAGGCCAGGTAGACCACCAGACCACATGGCTCAAAGCAAAAGAATTCTGCCTGATCTCAAGGCAAAAGGTGGTTTAACCTGCTGCATGCTGGAAGTACAGCTCCAGCATTGCTGTTTGATGGAATGAGAGGTGAAAAGGGAACCCTCAAAGAAATGTGGCTTTAGGGAAGGCCAAGCCTGTGTTTTTCCAGTGGCTGAGACTACTGATGAACTTAGCACCCTCTGTTGCTCATTGATGTGAAGGCTGCTGACCTGTTCTGCCCCCTGAAATGCTGCTGTAACTCCTGCCTATGGCATTTGGCTCTGTTAACTGAAGCTAATGAAGACCTACGGTCTAAGCTGTCGTAGCTTGCTTTCACTGAAAATGGTCAGAACCCAAAAGCAGCAGTCCCCAAGCCCATTATCCTGCCCCAAGCAGTGGTGCATACAAGATACTTGCAGACCTCTGTCTTGCGCTCCTGGCACATCCACTGGGCTTTTGGCAGACAGCATTTGATAGACTTCTAGGGCTGGAAATTGCATTTTCACCATTGTGTTTAGTAACCCTGGGTGAGCCTTTCTTCTTTGCATTTGTTCATTTGTATTTTGAACATCCTCATGATTTATGCTAGTGAGCTCCACAGTCTGATTTTGCATTGTGCCAAATTACATATATGTACATACTTTCTTTTGTTAGGTTTTTTATCTGCTGTGTCATAGCCACATTAGTGTCCTGTACTTTCTTAGGAGAAATAACAAATAACCATTTCCTGTAGACTTTCTCTTTGTCGTTCATAGTCCTATAGACCTCTGTGGTGTTTCTCCTTGGTTGTCTCTTCCAGTCTGAAGACTCAAGATTTGTCTAGTCCTTCTTATGCAGAAACCGTTCCATACCAGTGATCGTCTGTCTCTCCCTGCTTTGTTTATTTTCTAGTTCTTCTGCCCATGTCCGAGGTGGGGTGACAATGGATATCCAAGAATGGATAGCCAGATTTAATATGAGGGTGCATCATTTATACAGTGGTGTGACAATGTTTTCTGTTTTCTCTATTCCTTCGTAATTCCTCCTAGCTTTCTGTTTGCCTTTTTGACAGCTACTGAGCCAGCTGCCCACAGAGAGTTACCCACAGTGACTGCGAGGTCTCTGTACTGGGTGGAACAGGGCTAATTTAGAGCCTGTCATTCTGTACGTATAGACGGGGCTGTGTATCCCTGTGAGCACCACTTTACATTGTATCAACATTGAATGCCATATTGTGCATTCAGAATTTGTAATATCCTTCTGCAGTTCTTTGCAGCTGGTTTTACTTTGACTATCCTCTTTTTCTTTTATTTTTTGTCAGTAAACTTTTTCACATCACTGTTCACTCCGTTATCCAGATCGCTTTACAAACAGCACAGCACAGATCCTGGTGGGACCCTGCTGGTAACCTTCTTCCATTGTGAAAAATGGCTGTGTATTTACACTTCATTTCCTATCTTTTAATCTGTTATGGGAAGGGCTTTCATATAGGGCTTTCCCTCTTGATCCTTTCCATCTTATCTTCTACCAAAACTTTGATCAGGGATCTTCTCAAAGGCTTTTTGGAAATCCAGATTCACTCCAAGCCAAATCACTGTTTCCCATGTTCTTCCTAACTCTTCCAGTGACCTCTCGGAGGTTTGGGATTCAGGGCTTTCCTCAGCAAAAGACAAGCTCATTCTTCACGGATGTGTCTCAGATATGTATGGATATGTTCTAATGAATATTTGTAGCTTCAGTGAAGGTGCCAGCTGTAGCAGTAGAGTTGTGCAGTTCCCCAGGCCCTTGCTTTGGGGGAGTTCTCACGTGGTGCTTTTGCCACCGTGTGTAAGGGGCAGCAAGCATGGCCATGGATTGTGGCGAGCAGCCAGGAGCCAGTCGCCTCTTCAGCCACTACAGCTGTGGACAGTGAACCAAATCCCAGAAAAGCCCTTTCATCACAGCTATTTAACCTATGTGAAGCACTGCTATTCCACTGTTGGGTTTTTCCCCCTCCCCTTTCAATCCTAAAAACAAAAAGGCAGGAGGCAGGGGTTGAAGAAGCAAGCCTTTGTGCAGCCAGATCTCGTCTTGTTCACTTCCCATTGATGCAGGTGTAGGGGCTATTTTGAAATGATGTGCAAAGGAAACTACATTGTATTCTTATTTTAATTTGGAAAACTAATCGTAGCTGCTTCAAGGATAGAAAGTTAAACCTCTTTTCAGGTACCATGTGGGTTTTATTTCCTTGGTCTCCATTTCCTCCTGCTTTTCACTGTCAGAATATCATAGTTTGTTTTCAGACTGCAATTTGTTAAGTACTTTACGGTTCTTATATTTAGAAATGGTCTCTTGTATATAAATGTCGTAATATACTTGTGAAGGTACTGTAATGTGACATAAAAAATTAGATGCTTAATAAAGAAATTTAAGATCTTTAAGTGCTTTATTCCTTAAAAAAGGACACTTACAAAGGTAGAATTTATGGGGCAGTCAGACTGTTCAAGGAAATTATCGTAAATACTTCACTGCATGAAGGTAATTCTTGTTCTCTGCTTTGTGTGGTTTACTGTGAAAAGAAAGATCAGAACCTTAGAATGGGATTGTCTGCACAGTTCAGATAAGTCCTTGGGAAGGTCTGTTCTTGCTGACTCACAATACAAATATAAATCAGCATTTAATGAAAAAAGAAATTGCACATGTAAAGGCAATCCAGGGGCAATAATTCTTCTGTTGAGTACTATTTTAGACTGGAGCTCATTGACACAGGGAAGTCTTCAGGACTTTATTGAGAGTCCAGAGAGATGATGGAGCGCAAGAGCAGTCAGTAGGGTTGAGAATTTTAGAAGAGGTTCCTTCCTCCGCATCAGAGCTTAAGGTCAGCCCAGAATACTAAGAATCAGGACGAAAGCTTGGAGAGAGAAGTTGGAGTGATAAAATACTCAGCTAAATATAGGCAAGGAGTATGAACCAGTTGGTTCTTGCCACATTAGATAGGGTTAGGAAATAACTTCTCATAAACACCATAGTTCTGCAGGGTTTGTACCTCCAAGAAATACAAATGTCAGTAAGTTGGTACTGAGAAGGAAAATAACCAGCTACATGAATACCCATATGTTCTTTTATAAGCCAGAGCCAGCTTTTCAGGACAAAACACTTATAGATACACATATAGGATGCACTGCCTAGCTCTTTTAAGTCTGGCTCCTTCTCCTAAGGCTATTTTCCAGGAAGAAATCCTGGCCGCCTTTCCAGGTCAACAGGTGCAGCATCTCCCTTTTGCACCTGTAAAGGGAGAACAGGACTGCAAACTACCTACAATTAACATCGCTTCAAGCTTTGCTTACTTGCTTTACTGTATGTTTCTAATCAAGAGGGACAGTTATCATCTCTCAGGCAGAAGTCAAGACTCGAATCATACCAGTTCTGAGCACTCTGAAACCTGAAGACCAATAAGAACTGTGTAAACTTCACAAACATTTTCATTACTCTAATTTGTGCATGTTTGTGCAAAAGATACAGACTCGCAGGAAGGAAGAAAATAGAGTATCTGGGCTTCCCCACCTCACACTGTGGGTATGTGTTTTTCCCTCACAGCAGCCTGAGCTTAGGGAGGACAAAGATTTCATCCTAAACACCGAATTTTCTTGATGTTGCTAAAGAGGCTGTCAGAGCAGATCTGTCTGCATCCTGTGAGCCAATTCAGAAGTCCACTGTTGGTCCCTCACAGCTTAGTTCTTGCAGTGTTTCGTGCCGAAAGCTTTTGATGCTTGTACCAACATAGCTGCAGTGGATTAAGGATTGTTTAACAGAGGAGAAATTTTACCAGCTCATTCTGTGTCACTGCAGTGAGACTGAAACATCAGATGAACCTCACTTTCCTCCCAGTTCCCTTTCATATTGCATCACATCTCTTCCGTGTGAATGATACCATTGCCTTCTGCTCTGGTAAAGGTGGAGGTAAACAGAGTGAAATTGAGTCGGTGACTTTAATGAATTGTCGTTGCGGTGCAATGCAGGTTCCGGGTTGACCAATGTTAAAACAGAAGAGATATCTGAAGTGAAGATGGATGCGGAGTTCCGGCATGACTCAGGATACGAAGTTCATCATCAAAAGCTGGTGAGTCGACACACAGTGCTTTCCACACATGCGTTTTGAGTTGCTGATTCAGTCTTGAACTAGTGGGTCAGTTATGGCCATGTTTCCCCTGAGCGATGTCGGTGCTGAAAGGGCCAACAAAAAGTTTTCACATTTAACAGATTATGATTTTTCTGATTCTCTCTTAAATGAGAGTAAACCTGGACTAATTTCACCAGAGGGGATGGAAAGCCGTTGACTCTCACGTGAGAGGAAATTCTGGTGGTTTCAGCCCTTGCACTGCCATGTGACTGGATGTGGTCATTTGGGCAATATTTGTCCCACAGTCCATGGTCACGTAACTAAAGAGTAGGGGTGCAGGGGAAGGAAATGCTAAGTAACTTTAAAAAGAGAAAAAAAAGTTTGATGGAAACACACAGCATGGTGCAGCAAGAAATAGAGCGATGCTGTTTCAGGAATAGATTCCTTTTCTGTCAAAACAGATGGTGGTGGTGCATGAAGGAGGCTGAACTTCATGGAGCATAACCTTTTGCAAGATTGCCTGCTTGGGATAAGAGGAGATTCTGCATTGGCCTTAATCTTAAATTTGTATTTGGTTTTATCTGTGTATTTTGTTCCTTAAGGTATATTAAATTATTAATAGGTGAAGGGCAGGTAGAAGCAAAATACTGTTCCCCATTTGAACTGTGCTTCTTACAAACACAAAATTAACAACAAATAGCAATGTAAGTAAGAACAAGCATCTTCTAAATGCTTTTTTCTGTCCTTTAGTAAGTAATGAAGAACCCATACAGCAGCGTTGACTATAAACCTTTTCTGCTTCCTATTTCATAAAGGTGTATTACATGATGAGATTTCAGTTCCACGACTTTCAGTATCCTGATATTAAACTTGAAAGCTTTTTTTCTTAACGTATTCTTAAAGCTAAGTAGTGCTGAAAATTAAAATTAACATGGGACTCAAATTTGCATTTGAACTAGGCAATCACTGTGTGAAAAGATATTCTGCCATCTCTTTGATGCTGAGAACTGAGAATTCCCAGTTTGATGAGCTAATCCAAAATGCATTAGCACTAATTTGGGAAATTCTGCCATGCTTAGCTCAGATGGGTTAGACATCCTGACAGAGTAAACCCGTGCAACTTTACTGAAGGGAAGGAACTTGCAGGGATGCGTTTTAGGCGCAGCTGTTCCTGATCCTGTGTCACCTGCACTTCCCAGCACTGCCCCTTAGTGTTTCAGTGTTTTGATACCATCCCAAGCAGTTTGGTGTTGGAAACTGCCCTTCCTGCAGTGGCTGACAGGGAATGCATTGCAGTCCCTGCACTTGAGTATTGTGTGCCATGCTTAAAATGGGACCTTTCCAGCTTTTTAAAGCATTTTATGCCATAATTCTTCCTGATAGGTACAACCATTATTTAAGAATTAGTAAGTGGTCCTCTAGGTTATCTTTTCAGTTGAGACTGAGCACAGAGCCGGGTATTGCTGCGAAAGTATTGGACTGATGCCATACAGGGCCCTGCTTGTTTTCTGCACGCCATATCCTAGCTGATGCCCTTCTCCATTAGCTTTAATTTAAAAGCAGTAAGCAGAAAATTCTCTTTGTCTGTGTTTTCCTCCATCTTTGCCCTGGTAGGATTTACTGAAACAGTCTCCTTAGGATATTGCTTTGAATTCAGCTGCACATTGTATTTCACACGCAAACTTCTGAATTGAGCTGAAATTGCCGTTATTTTCTCTTTTATGAGTGTTCAGGTTTTAACTGTACATTAAGTTGGCTCAGAGTGCTCAAGGCCTTCCTCTGCTGCACATGTGTATTAGCTGGGGCATTTCGTAGTGCTCTGAAATAGTATGGTAGCAGAATTTCAGTCCTGGGCAGGTGAAACTGACAGAAGACATTATTACTTCACATCAGCTTATGCCAACACTGTCCATTGTGTGTACTTCCTAGTGAATTCTTAACTTTGTTTAAACACATTTCTTGCTTATGACTAGGAACAATATAAATATTTATACCGCGTGCTTTAATACCTCTCTGAGGATGATTGTGTTTCTTGAAGAGTGCAAATGTTATACAGCTCATTATAATTCTCAGCTGGTTTCCTGCTTCCCTCTGCATTTTTGTTAAATACTTGTCAGAGTACTTAGTCTTTCAGAGTGAGGTAGTCTTACAATTCTGTGAAAGTAATTTAGTCTCTAATCCTTTTTGCCCATTTTGTTTAAAAATAATAATAATAAAAGCCCGCTATTGGCAAGTGGACAAAAGGTTTGTAAAGTATGCATAGATGTAAAATAATCCAGCATACTCCTTGAATACAAAGCAGGACAGTGAAAACAATCGCCCACTTTTCATACCTGCTCCTGTTGCTGAAAGGCAGTCTTATTAAATGCATAGTAAAGCATCTTGCTGTCTGCTGATTTACCTTATCAGTACATATAATTCAAGTGGATCTTCTCTGGTTTTCACACAACTGTAATCTCATTTGTGTCTCTGAGTATGGTCATCATCCAGGTATAGCTTATCCTCCCTTTACCCTGCAAAATCATGGTGCATCCCTTGGTGCTCACTTAAAATTCGCATGTCCATGGTTTTTGGACTCTTGTCTCTTTTGGAGTGAGAATTTTCTCCCAGCTGGTTGTGTGCAGGTTTCACTGTTGTCCTACAGATCTTCACTGCTCCTGCATTGAATAAATGCATCAGACATATGCATCAGACAAGCCACACAGGTGTAGATTTATGACCACTTTCATGATTAGCATTCTAAAAATAATCTGTATGCTCCCTTGTTACTCCTCTGCAAACTTATCTCAGCCATTTTGCAATTAGCTTGACTCACTTACCCAAGGAGAAAAACAGCTGCTATCTAAGAGCCGTGTGAAGCAGAGACATGAAGATGAGTCCTCCTCTTAGCCACAGCACTGCCACACCACAGGCAATACAGATTTCCCAAATTACTCTTCTCCAACTATGAGAGCTTTTCGGTACAGCAATCCAGTTTTGAATCACTAGGATGACATGCAATGCTATTTAATTACTGATACTCCAATAGGCTTTATATTGTCGTGGCAGCTGAACAGGTTAGCCAAATATTCGGCAAGCTTTTTATTAGCCACCTTCCTATATTTTTCTTTTGTAGGTGTTCTTTGCTGAAGATGTGGGTTCAAATAAAGGTGCCATCATTGGACTAATGGTGGGAGGTGTTGTCATAGCAACAGTGATCGTCATTACTTTGGTGATGCTGAAGAAGAAGCAGTACACATCTATTCATCATGGCGTTGTGGAGGTAAGAAAAGACTGCCAAGCACAACTGGTGTCACACGTCCCACACAGTCGACACATGCTCCATTAATATATTTACAAACAAAGAAAACGTCGTTTTGGCTAGCCTAATGTTCAGAGTCAGAGTGGTTGCATCTGGCAGAGTGAAATCAAATTGCCTTATTTTGTAAATGCAGACACAACATAAACCATAAGAATATCTTCTGGAACTGTCCTGGACAAATCACCTCATAATGTGAAAGTTCCTTTTACAGGGAATTTAACAGTAGCCAATGAGCAGATACTGCACAAGAGGAAAACTCAAACTGTTGTTGGGAATGCACGCATACGGATTTCTTTATTTAGCTTGCAGATAACGTTTGAGGCAGGTCTTCTGTGTATTGTGCTGTAGACTACAAGGATTTTCCCTATACAGATACTTTATTACTTTTTGTTCTCTAAACAAGATTTTCTTCTGCCACCAACAGCTTTTGATTTATGTCTAATCTGAAACTCAGTTTTGAAAAAGAAATAATACATGAAACTCTTCTATGGGATTTTCAAGATGAAAACCCTTGTCTCTTCCCAATCTACCAAGTAAATTTGAGATTATTTACAGTAACTTAAAATACCTTGTCTGTTGCTGGGATTTAAGAAAGGATCTCTGTCAGTAGAAAAACTTAATTATGAGAACTGGAAGGGCTTTTGTGTAACCTTTTTTCTCCCCCTGTGTATTGATGCGTAGTTTGCTGTGTGAGTGTATGGTTTGCGGATAGTACTTATATGAATGAGCATTTACATGTTTTTGTCCTCCAAAACTGATATTTTAATTTTTTTTATTGAAACTAAGTCTTGTTCAAGTCCACAGTTAGGTTGGTTTCACCTTGAGTCAAATGAACCTTGCTTTAGTCTTGCTGGAGACATACATGTTTCCTGATGCATGTATTCCACTCTCTGGGGCAATGAAAAGGTCTTAAAAATATTTGAGTAAGCCTTTGTCTTAAGCCTGTGCTTGTGTATCGCTGGGTCTGTGCTGTGGTTGCCCACGTGGTTTGAAACCCTCCAGAGAGGGTCAGAAGAGCACCAACCAATTTGGGGTGAGATTTGAGCAGACAGCAAGCCTTGCAGAGTTTGGACCAAGAGGTAGAAAATAGCAAGCAAGAATCTCAGCTTTAACTTGCCATATGAAAGCTTCCAGCCCATTTTGTAGAAAATATGATACAGATTGTCATTTTAAACCACCTAGCTGATAGCTGCTGCCAACAACTGTGCAACCTGAGACCTTCCTTTGGCTGAATTTAGCAACAACAGAATAAGCTAGGAGGTTTGCTAGGACAAAGCCCCAAATCAGACATTGAATGTTGACACACCATTCTTGCCGTACGACCTTAGAATGTCAAGTGGGCTTCACCTGGTAGAATGACGTGGCAAAGGCAATCCCGAACTCCTAGGAGCTTTCATCACTGATGGTGAACTTGGGAGTGTTGGACTAGAAATAACACGCACAAGCTGAACAAGTAATTCATGTCAAAATGACAGCATCACTTAGAGAATAAAACATTTCATAGATGAAACCATAGAGCTATAGCATCCAGCTCTACCAAGATTATTAGTTGATTTATGGTACCACACTATGGATGGTGTCGCCTTGTAGATTTGCTGCATTGTGTCTGGCATTGGCAGGCAGGATTCCTTACTCTGCCAGACTTGCTCCCTGGTCTTGGCAGACTGCATGGCCTCACTGAGCTTCTTGCCTGCAAGAAAGGCATAACATCTATTTTTGTCACAGGTTGTTGAAAATTTTGTAGCACTCACTTTGAGGAAAAAAAACCACCCAAAGATCCATATACAATTGATGTTTAATATTAAAATGTCTTCAAAATTAAGCTGTTCCATTCTGAAAAGGATTACTTTATTTAGCAACCTTGCATCTTTATTGTGCTATTCACAAAAAGCATGCAAGAGCAAAAACACTTGATGTGTAAATAACTGGACATCATCTCCAGGTTGTCTGAATATATTTTAACAAATATAAACCTGTTAGTTCCATGTCGGAAGGTACCATGTGAGAATTTACTCTGTGATAATGGATGTGATATTACAAAACACATCCTGTTCTGCCTGTATTCTTACATTCCAAAAAGTCAACTCTGACTGTGGTACTTCCTCTCATTTCACATGTCTTTAACAAAACACATTATTAAAAATCCTGTTAGCCTTTTTTTTGAAGCTCTGAGGAGGAATATACTTGTCCTATTTAGAAAAAGTGTCATCATAATTTTCTTCCAAGTCTGAGAATGTAAGTGTTGCAAAGTGGTTCAGCCTCTCCGAGAGAAGGACTGCCACAGTTAAGTAGATGACCGAGTGATTGGAAATTGCTTATTATGTGTGCACAGAGGAGCTCTGGCAAGCATTTTGAAGGTGTTTTTTGCTGGTGCAGCCAGCCCAGCTGTCTGCAGGAGGTTGCTTCCTTCATGAAAACAGGTGGCGAAAGAGAGGTTCTCACCTCTCCGATGCTTCAGACTACAGCTGCCTGCCTCAGCTCCTCCTCTTTCAAGATCTCCTCGTTGAAGCTCATTTGCTTTGGAGGCTGCACCTCCAGCAGGAGCATGTGGGGAGAGATAACACTGGTAAGGCTCACAGCAATAGCAGAGAACCCATTAAAATTGTGGTAGTACTCTCCAAAGTCCTCTCAAAGTCTGATTTACAGGTGTATATTAGGCAGCATCCACTTAATACCATTTCAAAGACAGTGTTGTGTTCAGTGCATCTCTGAGGGCTGCCAGCACCTCCTGTCTGGGCTTGTGATCTGCCCCATATGTGTAGAGGCAGCACGTGAATTTTTCTGCAGCATTGCCATCTTCCTGACTCCATGTTAGGATTTTCTGTGTGAAAGATCTATGGGCTGGAGCAGTGGGGGATAGATGGGCAAACAGTCGCAAAATGGGTTATCATAGAATCACAGAATGGTTTGGGATGGAAGGGACCTTAAAGATCATCCAGTTCCAACCCCCCTGCCATGGGCAGGGACACCTCCCACCAGACCAGGTTGCTCAAAGCCCTGTCCAACCTGGCCTTGAACACTTCCAGGGAGGGGGCATCCACAGCTTCCCTGGGCAACCTGTGCCAGTGTCTCACCACCCTCACAGTAAAGAATTTCTTCCTTATATCAAGTCTAAATCTACCCTCTTACAGTATAAAACCATTCCCCCTTGTTCTACCTGACTGAGCTGTTTTCTCAAGAGACATCACATCATATTAAAAAAGCCGAAGTACCCACACCTTATGTGCTGTGTTCAACTTCTGCCACCTCCATAATGGGTGCAAAAAGCTTCTTAAAATGGTAAAGGGCTTTAGGGATTTACTGACAAGGAGATAATCGGGTTCAAGGCATGTCATTTGGTAGAGCAATACCTAAGGCAGAGGTTGTAAGGAGTGAGAGAAACAGTTTGGCAGTCGAAATGGGTAAAAGTGAGTAGAAGAGAAGACATGAGGATGAGCGATAGTGCACATAGGTTGGCGGAGAGATGGATTACCCTGCAGCAGACAGCTACAGGAAAAGGAGGTGCTATTGTGCCAGCACTAGTCATTTTATCAGGCTGAAGGGGAAATTTAAAAGAAAATAAAATTGAGTAAGAATGCAAGTAGGAGCCTCAGTAAATCCCTTTCATCTATAAATGCCATATTTCAGAGGTTATTGGACTTTCACTGTGAACTAGTTTTATCAAAGTAGGACTTTTTAATATGGAATATTGTCCAAGGTTGTTAAAAATTCAGTCTCATTTTACTGTCCTTCATCATATTTTTGGTACTCTTTCTCATCCCTGATTTTCTTCCAAGTTTCTCCAGTTTCTTGTCAGTTCTTTAGTCTCTGCTGCCTTGCACTTTCTTTGATTCTTTTTTAATTTATGTTGTTGTCTTACCCTGTTTCTTTCCTGCAAGCAGGTTATGCTCTGTGCTTATCACATCTTCTAGTCCTGAATAAGAAGTGCTGAGTGGGAGGCTTAAGCTAAAACGGGTGACAGAGTTCAATACAGTGTTATTTGGAGCTTAAGTACAGCACGGGTTCTGGCATAGCCCTCCTTTGCATCCCAGCCTCGTGGGGGGAGCCTCCTAGAAAGGAAGATGCTCTCAGGCATGTATTGGTACACAGAGACTCCTGATCCCTCAACCTCAGAGCTCTGTATTGCGCTTTGATTTCATGCTAGAAGAGAATCTTTTAGAGCTGTTGGTGGGTTTGATTGTGAATGCTGAGGCTCTCACTTCTTGATTTGGAGAAGCACCAGATGCTCCTGTAGCCTGGTGTTACTGCGCACAAGAACCAGGGCTGACAATGACACAGCAGCCCCTTCAGGAATGAAAGGAAGGGTGGCTTTTCCTCTGCGCTTGCTTTGTATTCCTGTGTGCTGTAAGCACTGAAAATGCCACAGGAACACTTGCCATTTTCCCTGCTTTGTTCTTCTCTTCCCTTCACAGCCATCTTAGTGACAGCTTTAGCAGCAGCAGATGGCATGTGGTGACATTGTCACAACTGAAGTAGTTAACACTGGTCCTCAGGGCAGGGATTAGGCCTTTCACATGTTTGTACAAAACCTATATGGAATGGGTTTGTTAGGCCCTACTGCTGTGATGCTGATGACATGCATCGAAAACAAGTGCTCTGCCAAGCAGAAATAGCGTCGAGGGATTGCCAGAAGTTGATTCACTGCGTATGGACATAGATGGTGTATCCTCATGGAGGGAGAAGTTGGCAGCTGGAGAAAGGGCAGGTGAAGCAGCAGGACACAACCCAGCCCCTGGAGAAGGGCAGAGATGAGTGCTGTGAGTTGTGGCAGCTCTCCAACTGCCTCGCATCCAGCCCCACCATGGCCCTGTCTGCTGGCCAGAGCTGGGGCTGGAGTAGCAGGCACCGACGAGCCTTTAAAACGTGAGCTCTAAAAACACAGTCGCATGTGGGCTGCTGAGCACGCTGGTGTATGGAAATGTCCTGGGGATTGGGGTGCAGAGGTTGGAGAGGAGATGGGCTGTGAAATTCCCAGGAGTCGTCCTGCTCTTGATGGATCAAAATGATTGTGACAGCCAGGCTCAGTGCTCTCTGCTCCTGTGGGCTGCCCAGGGGAGGCTCGCATCCGTCAGTAGGAATGAAAAAGTTTCTTTTGTTGCAGAGGGAGGGGGGCAGGGAAATAAAACCACTGGTTTTTTCCTGCCTAATTTCTAAAACGGGAAATCTGGAAAGAGCAGCTTAAAGCAAGAGCGCCATCTCTAACAGGATCTCACTGTCTGAGTGCATGTCACAGGAGGTGAAGAAATAGATGTATTTTGGGTTTGTTGCATAAGATAATTACTCCATGCAAATCCAACTAAAAAAAGAAGAGAGAAAGCCAGCCTTGAATGGCAGTATCCTAGCAGCAAAAAAGGCCAAGTTATATCACAGAGTCAGAAACACAGGGAGCCCCGTGTCAGCTCAGCCCAGTGATCCTCTCTGCCTGGCACCCTGCAACCTCCTGGCAGGAGGCAAGGGCTCGCTGGAATGCTCGGGACTCCCAGGTACGGAGAGTTTCGCAGTAGCGTGTGAGCAAAAGTAGTGTGTGACCCTTAAAGTTGAGTATTATCACAATATGCAAATGTTGCCTAAGAGATTTGAGGGGAAATACAGCATTGATTGAAAGTGCAGTTTCGCAGTTGGAACATGTATGAGGAGATTAAGAAGGTGCATAGATAGGAAAACAGATCAGTGTTGGGGTTAGCAGTTCTGAGCAGTCCAGTACATGTTGCACACACAGAACTGTTTCTTCTCTTCAATAACAAAAGAGCATCACGATCAAAGATCGCTCTGAGAGGAGCCATTTCTGGTGACACTGTGGGGAAAGGTGCTCCTGTGGTATAACCTACCAAAATAAATGAGCGGCTGCAAAAATGAGCTGAGCAGCCTGCATTTATCCCAAGCGTGGAAGAACATACCTTTAACCTTTCTCCAGGCTATCAGGTAACAACTTATCGAAGGTCATAGTCTGTCCTAACTAAGCTGAGTTATTTCCAGTATTGTAGAGTAGATTTAAAATGAGTATCAGACATAAGTACTTCTCCTTTGCTTTTTTATTAAAAGGTTAGGCTGCTGTAGAAGGGTTCTTGAGTGAATACACTTTCCATTATCCATTATTTTTATCCTAAAAGTAAATGGATGGTTTTCCTAAAGGTCACTACTTACAGGAATCCACAGGAAAATGTTCATACCTAATACTTCGGTGTGGAGTTTTAGGCACTGTCGTGATGTTAAATTTTTGACGATGTAAAAATCGCTTTTTGCGTTCTCTTTTAAGAGCTGTCAAACACTAGAGGTGCGAGGTAGCAAATGAAGGAGCTGACGAGGAGGCTTCCTTAGCTCTGCTCTCATAGGTGTTTCGCAAGAGAGCTGGGATACGGCAGGTTTTGAACACACAACAGCTATTGAGCTCATATACAGCAGAGGTAAAATGCCTAATTAGCATTTAGAGACTGTTCTCGCCCACTCTAATTTGATGGAGTTTTGTATTTCTGTAATGTTCAGTGAAGGAAGAAAATAATTTGCCAGAGAAGTCTTGACTGAGCTGTCTTTACGCCAGTCTTCCAAGTAATTAAAAAGGTCAATTTTTGTTAAGTAGAAATGCTTTAAACCAGTGCACACCCGTCAAGGTTTTGTCACTAAATTGAACCAAACTCAACCTTGGAGCCAGAGAAATTCAGTTTCTCTGAGTACAGTGGGATTTTTTTGCTCACCTTGTGCCTGGCTACTCTGGCATTTCCTTGCTACCTTTATTTTATTTTTAAAAATTAATTTTTCTTGGTCTTGAGACTACAACATCTGCAGCAGATTTGAGAGCACAGCATCGACAGAAGGCAGCCTTGAGCATCTTCCTTCAGCTTTTTACTGAGCTTTTGCTTTTCTTTTGAGATCCAATTGATCCCAAGTACAAATACCAATATGTATCCTGGAGGGGGCAAACCTAATAATGGGGGTCTAATGGGGAGATACAAAATATATCCCCTTTTTCTGTATGCGGAGTTGCGTGCTTCCTGGGCCAGACAACAAAAATCCAAAGCTGGTACTGCAGGGTTTGGTCAGCTGGGTTTGAAATCTTGCAGCAAAAAACCGAGATTCAGAATTGTTCCTGCTGCCTTGTCTTCTCCCGCACTGTCCAAAAAGCGAACCACAACAGTCCAGGCTGGAAGGGCTATCTCTTGCAAGGTGCTCTTTAAAGCTGCTCGCTGGTTTCTCATTTGTGGCTGGGTTGATCAACACTGTCTGTTGATTTTGTTCGTGAGGCTGCTCGCAGTCCTGCATACCTTGGAGAGAGGAGTTTTCAGAGGAGTTGTCTCATCAGACAATGCTGTAGCCTCCAGGTGCTAGGTTTAATACTCTTGGTTAGTGGAGATTATCCCTATCACTTTCCAGACACCTTTCTTTTAGACTTTCTTATGAGATTTGGGCTGAGTTTGGGACCTAACTTTCCTCCCATTGAAACAAATAAAAAGGAGTGAGCCAAGGAAGAACCTGACAAATTTTGTCTCGTGCTTCAGAGGATGCTTTAACCACAGGAGAGGTTACAGAATACGTGGATGGCCGTAAAGCAGGGAGACATGGGGTATGCAGTGAATTAGGCAAGAACCTGACCCTGGTTGCTTCTTCTCACGACAGGTGGATGCTGCAGTGACACCAGAGGAGCGCCACCTTTCCAAGATGCAGCAAAATGGCTACGAAAATCCCACCTACAAGTTCTTTGAACAGATGCAGAACTAGGACACCACAACAGCCTCATGAGTTGGACAGCAGAATGATTGCTTCACTGCCCATCGGTGTTCAGTTATAGAATAATGTGGAAAGAAAGAAAAACACTCTGTTTTATTATTTACTCATTCTCGCCTTTTGACAGCTGTGCTGTAACACAAGTAGATGCCTGAACTTGAATTAATAAAATCAGTAATGTATTTTCTCTCTCTTTCTCTTTACATTTCAGTCTTTACACTACATTATTAATGAATGTTTTTTGTGTACTGTAAAGAGGTTAGCTGTATTTAACTAGTGCATGGATAGATTCTCTCTCCCAATTATTTATCATGTAGCTCCTTAGCCAGTTGTATATTATTCTTGTGATTTGTGACAAAAATTAAGTCCTGATTGAAATATGCTTTAAGAATTGATGGGGGATGCTTTCTGTGTCTGTGGGGTTTAGCTGCTTCTCTTTGCTGAGCATTTTTTTCCGATCACTATGCATTTTAAAGTAAAACAACATTTTTTAAAAAGTATTCCAGATGAGTTATTGAAATTCTTTTCCTCTGCAGCTGCATTTTATTGTACAGATTGTTGCTCCTGCTGTATTAGTGGCGTAGAAATTATGGGAATACACATTTGTTTCTTTGTGCCTGTTTTATGTGCACACTTTAGGCATTGAAAGGTAAACTTTATTTTGTTTTCCATGTATCTTTTGGATCTTAAAAAAAAAATATTAAAAAGAATCCCTGTTAATTGTGAGCACTTCTTGGGGAGAAAAGTGCCTGCTGGCCGAAAATTAACAGGGATCCTCTGCAGGATGATTGTACAGAACCATTGCTTATGAATTGACAGCTTTCTACACTGTGTTACATAAATAAATTAAGAAAAAAACATTTGGGCAAGAGTTTTCTTTGGAGGCAGAGAACAAAGATTTCTGAAAGCCCCTTAAATGGAAACCATGGATGTTCACACTGGGAGAGGGTTGGGAAGGGATTTTCCTACAAGGATCGTGGCACTTGCAGTCAGACCAGAGCAGAAGGAAGGCGGGAGCGAGGGACACCAACTTTGTCACATCTGCCCCTCTAAGACGTCGTCTCTTTTTTTTTCCTTTTCTCTTTCTTTCAGTTTGTATAATAGTGTTTTAATGTAAATAAACACATTCCTGGAGGAGCCCCGTTGTAGTGGTGTGTTTCTGCGCCAACCAGCTGCCCTCTAGCGCAGAGGAGCACGGCGTGAGTGACTGATTCCTTCCTCCCTGCCCATCCCCAGGAGTGACGTGGTCCAGCTCTTCTCTCACCAGCGCTGCTCCACTGTGGTCACCTTCCTGGAGAGATCTGCACCTCGTCAGTGAGTGCACGGAGGAGCCTCCCAGGCTGCAAGACCCTTCAGCCCAGCACTGTGACATGACAGCGGGTGCCCAGGAAGCGTAAAACAGCACCACCAGTCATCTTTTCCCAAAAGCTGCAGGCAGGGGGCGAAGCCTTTGGTGGGCTGTGGGACATAAACCCCAGCCTAGCACCTTCTGCCCACTGTGGGCTGGAAGCCCAGCTTAGAGTCTCCTTCAGCCCCTGGCCCTCTAGCATAGAGGGAGCGCAGTAACCCACGCCGCAGGGCTCACCTGCTGGCAGAGGTGAGACCACAGTGGGTGAGTCAACCTGGTGATCTTCAAGGCTTCCTCTGTACCCAGGTTACAGCAAGTACCCCTCAGGTGGAGCTTGGAGATCAGTTGATGGAGCTACAGTCTGGGTTTTGGAGTAAAACCGGAGGTGTGTGTTGCTTGAAAAAGCAAGCTAATTGTTGTTTCGGCACAACAAATGGGTTAGATAAAGCAGGACTGAGGAAAGAGAGCTAGGAGTAAAATAAAGACAGCAAGATCTATCCAGGGAAAGCCTCATCTTATCTGAAAGTCACAGAAGCCTCTTCTCCAGCATCACCTGCAGCTTTTGTCTCCACAGCGAGATGAAGCGTGGCTGCCAAGGTGCTGCACAGCTCAGGTGAGTGGGTGAATAACTCCAGTCCTCAACTAAGGCTGCAGTTTTCAGCCCTGTTGCACTGACACGTCCCTCTTCCCATGCATGACCTTCCACAAAACATCACCTGTTTGACTGATTTGCCGGCTAACCAGGAGGTGTGCTCGTTCTGTGAGTGGACAGCCTGGGCAGGCAGCTTCACAGAATCACACAATATTAGGAGTTGGAAGGGACCTTAAAAGATCATCCAGTCCAACCCCCCTGCCAGAGCAGGATCACCTAGACTAGGTCACACAGATGTGTCCAGGCAGATTTTGAATGTCTCCAGAGAAGGACACTCCATGCAGGGTGATGAAGAGGCACCTGCTACTCTAAACCAGTAGCTGGAAAAGCTGTGGAGCTTCCTGTTGCCTGTCAGTAGCAGGGTGTTTATTCCCTTTGCTTTCTCATCCCCACTTTATCAAGGGAGTCCGGCACAAGGGATGAGAGCCCTGGAAACAGTAGGTGTTATTTGCAGAGTCCGGAGTACCAGTGTTTTAGAAAGAATTTGTAGAACATCCCCAGAGGATTTGCCATCTCCAGTTTTCTGTTCGGGCTAGAAGGAAGGGTGCTGGTGAGCAGAGGCCTTCAGGCCCAAAATTGCTCCAGAAGAACCAAGAAGGTTTTCTTTTACAAATATTTAGGGTTAGGGACATGTCTGTTATCTTGTTATACAGGTCATGCATACCCCCTAAAAAGGAATATATAAGACTCTTCTATGCACTTGTCCACTATCACAGAAAAGATCCCACTGCCAAGGGTAGGGAGGGAAGGGGAAGGCAGGACATAATTCAATTTAGTGCAGTCTTACTGAAGGAGCATTATCAAAATTCCTTTTAGGAGAAGCTGGAGTAATCCATAAAATACAGAGGGCCACTGGCCTTTAGAGCAAATCCCGTTTATAATACCATAATCCCACGCAATCCCAGTTATAGAAAAATCCAATTGCTTTGAGCGGTAGTTCCCAGACAGTCAAGCCTGCTAGTGTGGGGACTTTTGTCTGGTGAGGCACTGGTGCTGCTCTTGCTACTCGTGGACCAACTGTTAATCACTGAGTGTTATCACTAATTAAGTGATCAGTTTTTAAGATTCCCTCCACACAGGCACACTCCTGACAGAAAGGCAGCAACTGCACACCATGCTATGTCACATAAAGCACAGGGGGTGAACAAAGTTCCCGAAACTTCAAGACAAACACTCCCACAGCTGCTGCAACCCCAAAGACTGCCTAGCAATTTATCACAGTTCTCAGGTAACAGCAGCAGCTTCCTGCCCATCTGCAACCATGCAAGCTCCTTATTGTGAAAGGACTATATTAGGAGTGAATGTAGGCTCATAAAGTAGAAAAGCTGACAGAGGAAGGAAGCTAAGCACCTCAGTTCCAAGCGCAGGATAGATTGGGTATCACCCACTTCAGCAATAAAGTGAGTGGAGCGGTTGCATGCAGTTATGGGCTGGGAACAAAATTCCACTCCCCAGCCCCGAGGAAATTACTCTTGGGGGGGAGGTGTAGGGAATAAATAAAATAAAAATATCCCTAGCTGTTGATCTGATACATTTAATGGGAAAAGTTTTCTAGCTTGAGTCATTTTGACAGGATGCATTTAGGGAGTGCTTACAGTGTGGATCCATCAGCAGAGCTGGTGAGGGTGGTCTCTGGTCCCTGGCGAGGAAGAGTGGTACTGGGCAGGGATGAGGGCCAGCCCCAACCTCCTCGGCTGCTGGTTTTTGAAGATGGTGGTGGTCCCACTCTTCGTTGGTTTTCACAGGTCTACTCAGATTAGCAAGTACCCAGATGCGAGGTGAACGTGATCAGGCACAAGCTAGAAGACCCACTCTAAAAAATATGTGTATATATATGTGCCATGCTTTGCGTTCAGTACCTGCCTCTTGCTAAATTTGGTTCTCCAGCTACAGAGTGGCCTAGAAAAAACAAACCAAGGCCTGGTGTTACCCTTATGGAGATCAACTCGCAGTATTTTCCATTAGGTCTGTCACAATCTTCACACAGCTCTGAAGTCTCCATCCTCATTATATCTGCATTTACCAAAGCAATTTTAGGGCCATTGCTGTGTGACCAAATGGCTCATTTTTATTGTTTAAACTAATGGATTTTGTGGGTGGTGGGTAAGCTGCTGTTAAAATGCCTCTATGTAGCAAGACTGAAAATGACATATGAGAACAGATAACAAATAATGCTGTGTGCAGCGTCCTAGTTGTGTTCCTCTGCAATTTTTCCACCACTTGGAAAGCAAGGGTCTCAATTCAGTCAGGCCAGGATGGCTCTTCTCTCTTGCTGCTTTCCAGTAATTCTCCTTTTTACCTTCTTCCTAGAAGAAGCAAGCACTAAATCTTTCCTGCAGCTTTCTACAGTCCTGAGAAATTTATTTAACTCCCTACATAGAAAGATCTTTTAAGATTCCAAATGTAAGTATTGGGATTTATATAGAGGTAATAAAATATTCCGGCTTTAATGGGATTCTTAGTTAAAACACTGTTGAATTTGGACACTGAATTAGAGCACGAGTCTCCCTAGACAGTGCCTTCTGAGTTTGTAATCCAGTTTCTCTAGGATAGCTCAGTGGAGAAAAGCATCCACACCAATTTCAGATAGAGTAGCACCTAGATCAAAAGGTAGACATTTCTTTTTCAAAATGTTTCTAATTTTTTTTAAAAGGGGGAGGGCGGGTAGGGATATAGCCGGCACAGGGCAGAGTCCCCTCAGCAGGGTCTCACCAGCTACTGCAGGAAGTAGATCCTTGAAATAGCTGCAGCGCTGCTGCTGATCTAAAATGGAAACGTGGTAATTATGGCTATTTTGAGTCCCTGATCACCACACCGAATCCTAAGCGCTACTTCAGGCTATAGCTCTGGGGAGCGTTTCAGGTGCAGGAGCTTTTTTCCATTTAATTAGGATGAGGGGTTGGGAGAAACAGACAAAATCCCATTTACCTCATATGCTGCTTCTCTAAAAAGGGTTTTAAAAAAAAAAGGGTTTTAAAAAAAAGCCCTGCACTGCTACAGTCCCTGTGCAGAGGTGGGACCAGACCCGAGCTATGGCCAGCAGTGGTCTCTACCAAGCTGGCAGGAGGGAATCAAGCTCCAACAATGTCAATTTTATTTCCAGAGCCCTTTGGAGACCTCTATTTTTTATGATTTTTTTTTTGTGTGCTTAGAAGCTGTCTGGCCCTTGGGAAGGAGGGGAGGAGGGCATACTCCCTGTGGGTTTTGCCAGTTGGGTCCGAGGCAGCAGGCCATGGAGGCCCTTGGCCTGGTGGCTCTGGCACATGGCTGGTGCAATCACTTGTCATTGTGTTACAACAGCAGCACAGGGAACCAGTGCTGCCCTCCATGAGGCACCCAGCTGTAATGAAACCCCCAAAACCACAGGCCCAGGGCACCCTACTGAGGACTGCCTGGATGGAGCACGCTGGGCCCTGTGCTTTGACCTGCCATGCAGCTGTGCCAGCCTGCGCCAGCCACATTGAGCATGCTGTTCCTTTGCTGAGCGTTAATGATTTGGGGTTGCAGCTGGGGTATCTGTAATGTTCAGGCAACAGGGGGATGCACCACCATTGTACACTAGCGAGGATCTGGCCTGATAATTACAAGTTGGATGTTACAGTACCATATCAGAAGCAGTGAAGACTGGAATCTTACTCCATGTCTGACATGGTGTGCTGCCCAGTGGCCACCTGGAGGGACTCTGCGGACCTGGGGAGCTGAACCAGGGCAAAACTGGCTTTAGCACTGAGGGATTTACTACAGACGCTCTGCTTTGCTTCCAGAGCGCTCTGGCACAGCACTACAAAGCAGCAGCATCTCCTGCCTTGCAGGTATGATACTTAGAAACCTCTTATTTGTGACAGAATAAAGTCTCCCCAGAGCTGACCCAAACAATGAGCAATGAAATGAGCTGTAGTTAACCCAGTCTTTATTTTAAATATCATTTGTACCCATTACGTATAAAGAGTGTTGTAATGCCGTTTGTCTTTTGTTTTCCTGGCATAAAAAACCTGCACTGCCAAAGCAATTGGCTGGTTTTGGCAAAAGAGTTGCTAGAAAATCTGCTATGAAATTCTGTGAGCTGCCAAAATTCAGTAGCCAAAAGAGTTTAGCTTGTGTTTTGCAAAGCCTAATTTTTATATGGATGGTATAAAA